TCCAAAGGAGGGTCAGCTCTGCGGTGCTTCTGACTGGGCAGCAGTGAGAGAAAGTAAAGCTGGCACCAGAGGTGGGAATTTGAGGACCTCCGAAATTCTCCAAAGAACACAGCACAGAAAGGATAACTCAAGAGGAGAGAGAACCGTGACACGAGGCTTGCGGTGGGTATTTTACTAAGGAAATAGATCTGGAAAAGAGAATAAAAAAGGCTTGACTTTTTAACACGAGCATACTGATTATGCAGAAACCCAGCAAACCATGTAGACAGGCTGCAGAAGTGAGCGTTGCCGGGGAACGTGTTCTGTGAGCCTGAGCAGCTGCAGACCCCCACCCCCCAGCCCCGTCTCTGGGCTCCCTCCCTGAGCTGCTGTGATTGCTCTGAAGCTCGGCGCGCACATTTCGGCATCTGTAACACCGTAATGAAATGAAGTGGACGTTTATTGGGCTTCTGGCCTCCCTGATTAGCCTCCCTGAAGACTCAGTGGATTGGTCTAACGTATTTTCATCTTTCATTAAAGTAACGTATGAAGAGACCTCTTAGAAAGCTGTGGCCAAAGCACACCATAAGAAAATCTCCTGAAAGGTATCTGGGTTCTTATCGTTTGAAGAGTATATAAATGTCATAAAGGATGAGTGCTACTGGGGAGGCCTTCCATAGTCCCTTCTTTTTTTTTTTTATAAAATAAAAAATTTTTAAAGGATGGAAAAGGTGGGGTTTTTTTAAAAAAAAGGTAAATATTTTCAGTATATGCTACTATGAAAATAAGGGGGGCTAAAGAAAGATTTAATGAAACATTAAAATTTTAGTAAGATCTGAAGGAGATATAGGACCCTGAAAATATTAGCTACTATTTGGTTCAGGTTAGAGTCCTAGCATTTGCCTTGGTAGTTCCATATTTCATCGCTAGCCAGGATCCATCATCTTGCCAAAGAACTCAGTAAAGACAGAAAGACAGTTTCTTCTCCATACAGGAATCCATGTAAACCCACAGTGTTTCCTCCGTGAAGCAGGGATTCATGAAGCCACCAAGAGAACAAAGATGACCATCCTGATCTGTTCCACTTAGCTCAACTGAGCGTGTGATTAGGAATCTTTGCATTAAGACCAAGACCATCAGGGAAACCTTGGTTCCAGCCTATAGTCATGTGCCCAGATTCTGCCCCCCTTCCTGCTCTCCTCTCCCTTTTACAAACATTCAGCATACAAGTCTTTGTAGGCCTTTCTGTTCTCTGCTGTCTCCATTCTCTTGAAGCTGCTTTTAATAAGACTAACAACAAAATGTTCTGTTGTCCAGACAGAGCAAGGGAACATAGCATGGTTTAAAATCAAGAAAAGTTTGCATCAGGGATATATTCTTTCTTCATACCTATTTGGTCTGTATGCTGGCAGATCATTTGAGAAGCTGGATTCTATGAAGAAAAATGTGACATCACAATTAGAGGAAAAAAACGAAAAAGGAAAAGATGAGAGGAAGACTCACCAACAATGAGTGCAGACGCCACAACCTTGCTTGAGTGAAGAAGGCTTGAAAATCTTGCTGCTTCAGATCAGACACTATCAATTTCAATTAAGAGAACATCTCGACATCATGAAAGCGAAAATGCTCACCACTGAGCCAACAGATAGGACAATGGTAAATGGAGGAAAGATTGAAGTTGTTAACAATTCCATCCTTGCTTGGATACACAAGGAACACAAGTCAGCAGTAGAGAAATACATGGTGTGTAATATTGAGGAGGTCTGCTGTCAAGGGCCTCTCTAAGGTGTTTAGGGGCAATGATGTCAGTTTAAAAGCTAAGGTACATGTGAGTCAAGCCACAATCTTTTTAATTACTTGTTATGCATCTGAAAGTAGAACAGGACTAAAAGGCAGCAGAAGAATCACTGATGCTTTTGAGTTGTGATGGTGGAAAAGAACACTGACTGTCCCCTGAACTGCCAATGAACAAACAGATATGTCTTGGACTAAGTGCAGTCAGGTTGCTCTTTGAGGTGAGGATGGTGAAAGTTGGTCTCACATACTTTGAACATGTCGTTAGGATGGGCTACCTTTGGAAAAAGACATCATGCTTGGAGGGGCGGAGGGTCAGTGAAAGAAGACCCTCAACAAGATAGATTGACATGGTGGCTTTAACAATAGGCTCAAGTATCTTAGAGATTCATTGCTGTACAGAGGTAGCTTGTGGTTGCTGTGATGCTAAACACTGTGACACTCATGTGCCAAATGCAATAATGGTTACCCATGGTGGACAGTGTTTAGTGGAGCTCCCCAATTAAAACAAGTGTGGAAGCAGGAGTGGCATTCACTCTGAAACGGCTTGCCTCCGGAAACTCTATGAAAAGTGCTCAGGCCTTTTGTTATGTCACAGGGTCGCTATGAGTCATCTACGACTCGATGCACTTAACAGCAACATATCAGAGATGAGGAGGATGGCACAGGACAGGGCAAGGTTCAGATTCGGTGTTCAGAGGGTTGCTGTGAGTCATAGTTGACTCAAGGGCACCTAACAACAACAAAATTCATTTAAGGCTAAGGCCAAGGATGCTAACCCATAAGCCACATATATGTAGGCGCATGTATGAGTGTGACGCACTGGGCCAGCCAGTTTTTCACCTTTTCAGTCTTCATTGCACTGGTTCCTCCCCTCCTAAGTACCCTTCCCCTTGGCTTACATGATAGCGCCCTGCGGCTGCTTCCCTTTTTCTGTCGGGTTCACTTGACCGTCTCTTTGTCCTCTGGCCCACTCTTCAGCTATTCCTCCTACCTGGAGCAGCAGGCCCCAGCCCTCTTCTCTCTGCTTGAGCCACCGCCTCTGCTCCCACATCTTCACCCACCTCCTCTCTAGCAGATGGAGTCCCACATCTGATGATCTCCACTTTTTCTACAGGACATCTCCACCTGTTTATGAAATGCAGCACATTCAAAAGCACGTTCTTTATTTGTATGAAAAACATGTTCCCTTCCTTTATCCCTCAGCTCAGTTAAGGGCTTCATCTCTTAGTGGCCTCCTCCCACTCGTTCATCCTCTCCAGCAGCTCAGTCAGCACACCCTCCCGGTTCTTCCTGCTCTGGCAGTTCACTGCCTCCTCCCGCGCTCCAGGGCCTCGACTGTAATTCCAGTGCTTTAATTGGAATTTGCACAAGCTTCTTGTCTCCCTGAATCCAGCCTCTACCGCTCCCAGCCTATCCTGAAATACCAGAACGGTGTTTCTGCAGCACAGCTCAGTGTCACTCCCCACTTAGAAACCCCAAGTGTCCATCCCCACTCTGCCTTCGCATGCCACACAGTCAGTCTCCCACATCACCATCAGATTTTTTTCTCAGTTCCAAGTCTCTATGTGTGTGTCTTAGTTCTGGTAATAAAAGCTTTTTTTTTTTGTTGTTGTTCACTTATGCTACCTGGAAATGCTTTCATCCATTTAGTTGCAGCACAGTCATCTCCAGCATTTCATCCTTTAAACTCCAACACAATGGCCCCCTATTGAATGAATGCATCCATGCTGATGTGTGGAGATTCTCCCACCCTCACAGGCAAATGACCCTTCCCTCGGCAGCACAGTGCAACGTTTGTCACTCCTTCTTGTTATATTATCAGCTCTGCCTTGTGGCTGTCCTTCAGTTCAGTCTAAAGCAGAAAAGGCATATGTGCATCGCGTGCTGCCTCTTCCTCCTGTTCTCCAAGGCACACATCCTCCTGGCCCTGCTGCCTCTGGGCCCAGACAGTGGGGAGAGGGCTGGGGGTCCTCTTCAACACAGAGACTCCACACCTTACTCAACAGAGCTCTTCTGGTAGCCACTTCCAGCAGATTGGTGGTTTTGCACACTTGACGGTTGATTTGACAACCCCTGAAGTAGTGTCTCCAGAGACAAACACAATGGATGGCTTACCAGGATAAGAAGTGGAGGACACGTGGGCCGTATATTGTTTTGAGTTACGGATACATCTGTCCAAGACAACATGGTTGTGGAAAAGGATGAAAAGGATGAATGAAAAAGGATAAAAGATGAAGTCCGTTCATACTCTTTGCAGATAATTCTTCCTTCACACACTCAGCACGCCAAACCCTGTCTGCCACCCTCCTCACTCTGCTGAGTCCCGCTCGCTGGTTTGCCTTCAAAATCCACACCTTTTGTGTAATTTCTTCCAGCCTTGCCTTGTGATTTATCATGCATCATATTTTTAAGAAGTAGCTGGCGGGGGTGGAGGTGGGGGGTGAAAATTAAGAGAGACAAAAAGTATCTAACCTTATACTGCAACTTAATAATATATGTATTTTGGGAATAACTAAAGAAAACTGGTAAGCCTGGATAATTTTAAAGCCTTTTTAAAAAGCATTTTGTAAGAATTGGTGTTTTTTTCTATACTATATGAAGCATTTCCTAAATAACCCTATTCTCTGTAATTCATTTTCTCTATCTATGATAAAGGCAGAGTGGTTATCAAAAGATACGTCAAAGTGAACACGAGAAACGTCAGACCCCCTCTCTGGGGCTCAAGTGGAGGATCCAGATAGGGACGGTTATTAAGTGGATGAGTTTTATTCCTACTGTCCAGTTAAAATCCATCTTGAATTCTTGGAGCAGTTCAGAGTTTTTAAAAGGCAAACTGGATAATATAAATTAATAAGTCAAGAACATGCAGGGTTTGGGTTGGGGCTTTCTGATTCCATTAATGTGCATAAGGCAGCTGGTGGTTGAAAGCCTAACTAAAGTAGCACCTTCTTGCGTGTCAGTCATTAGACTGTGTGATGCAGTAAACAGAAGGATGAGAAAGCAGAGAAGGTACTTCTAAAGCTTGCAGCATTGAAATAATAATAATAATAACAGTCTCCTTGACTCTTGGCATGTTTTCCAGCCACTTCTACTTTTGGGCATCTTTGGGTTTTAATGAATTGATGCTGTTGGTGTCTTACAGAAATGGCTCGCTCTCACCTAGTGTTGTCTTGTCTTTTCTATCCTCCTCTCTTCTCCCCTGTCTCATCCGGAAAATTCATCAGGCTAACTGTCAGGTAGGTTCTTCTTGGTGTTTCAGGTGATTATTAGAATGTCCGTGGGGGGAAATGAAGTAAACGGGCTGCTGATGAATGATAAAACTAAGCAGAAAAGGCACTTGCTAAATTGTGGAGAAAGTTTCTGCAGAGGCAGAAAAACTGTAGAAGCTGCAAACTAAGAACAGTAAGCCAGTGTGAACATCTGTCATAAGAACTTAGCCTAGGGGAATACAGCCGCTCTAAACGGTAAAGTAGGTTACCCGGACTGCGTAGCATATCCTGTGGCTCAAAATACGGAGTGCTCCTGGAGGGTTTGCTTTTCACAGAGCAGTATTATATCCTACAGGGTCACAGGCAATTCAGCTGTAAGCATAATAACCAGCTTTACAGGGTTGGCCAAGTTCAAGAAAAATTCCCAGTGATGCCTTTTAAATCCCTATTTTAAATACGTACCCAGACATAGCCATAAAAAAAAAAGACGACAACGACTAGGAAAAGGGAATGATAGCTGTTCTTTGTTATTGCTGACCTCCTCACTGGAGAATCTAGTATAAGTTAACCAGTCCAAGAATGGTCACTTAAAATTGCAATGAGAGAGAACTGTTCTCTCTCGCTTCAGAGTCAGGGAAATGGAGTATTCCTTCACCCACATGAAGCAGCCGAACAAGCTCTTTTTAGATCCGTAAGTGCAAGACAGATACTTTATAAACCAAAAGCGTAGTTAAGCCCAAGAGAGGCATGCAGTTAAATTAGAGTTTTTTGGGTGTGTGTGTGTGTGTGTGTGTGTGTGTGTGGTTTTTAACTTGAACTCCTTTTTATTTTTCAAAAGGAAAAATTATGTGCTTCAGTTGCCATTTAACACAAGCTGTTCTAATAGCTTTCTGATTTTCATTTCAGAAGTCTACAGAACAAATGAAGAAGGTCCCTACTATTATTCTTTCGGTCTCTTATAAAGGAGTCAAATTTATTGATGCAACAAATAAGGTAGGTGCTCTGTCTCCAGCTCAGACTCAGATACAGCCCTGAGTATGCGGTCCAAAGTCCTTTCTTTGTTATAGTGACGAATATTCTCATTTTAGTCACTTTCACTGCCAACCTGTCATGCTTCCAGAATAAACCATCTTTAGGTCCACACTTAACTTGCATTCATACATACATAAAGGCACAATTCATTTGGAAGACTTCATCCAAGATAACCATTAGTGTTTTGTTTTCACTTTTTCATCATCCATTCTTTAATATACTGGAATGTAATACCTGGCATATCTTTGGATCTAGAAGACATTGAATCTGAAGAAAATCATTTATCATTACTAGATGAGTGACTAGAGCATTTCTCTCTCCCCATGTCCATTCTTTGGTTATACGTGATGCCTACCTGCCAGGAGAAGCACGCTCTGACCACCTCATTCTAATTGTATTTAATTCTGAGGTGGAAGAGAATTCCACTTTTCCTCTTTCCACCACAGCAGGAATGTCTATCAGCTCTAAGGCAGAGTGTGGACAGCCAGTTTGCGTTTTCGGTAAAATGTGTTTTAAGAATTCCTTTCTTGGCAAAGATGGCAGAGAAATTGGTCCTGGACCATCTTGGACGTGATCACTCTCTTACTCCTTAAACTTAAAGTGGACTTGCTCCTCCTCACAGAACCCCACATCACCCAGAGTAAGGAAAATCTATAACGATTTATTTTCCCTTTTATCAAGAGATATGCATATCCTTTCTTTTGATACACAGAATGGCTATCTGTCACAGAAACACACTGAATGGCCTTTTTTTAAAAAAAAAAAAGTCCATTTTAGTTAATCCTCATATACTGGGATGGAAGAAAGAAAGTCCTAACATTACTCAACATAATGAAAAGATCTTTTATTCCTTCACCCTCTGACTGATGAACCATGGTGACGGAGGGCATTTGCTTTCTGAACTGACTATAAAACCTGCTGCCATCTTCATTTTGGAGGAAGGGAACAGAAGGCCATGAAACAAAGGGACTTTGGCGATGGGAACTTGGGCCCGGGGTCCTTGGATTTAGATACCAAGGCAGAGTCCGCTGGCCCTGACTCTTTAGTGATAATACTGAGCATGCACGTCTGAATCAACCAATTAGAAGCCTTCTTGATTTATTTTCTATAACGGAGGAGGTTAGTGCATTTGCAGTCAGATAAGGCAAAGCTCTTTATAGGAAAATCACCTTCCGTTTTAGGAAATAACCCTGAAAGCCGAGCAGAAAGCTTTTAATCCAGCACTGCCATGCTGCTAATGCTGTCCAAAGCATGCCCTTATGTGTAACAATACCATCAAGATTTTAACTGCGGGTATCTAAATGATCATTTTAGTTATACAATATGTTGTTGACAGTTAACTGTTGTCAGATTAAAATTGTGGAGACTCAAATCAGAATAATCTCAATTGGTCTGCTTACTAAAATTTATCTCCTTAGTTACTAACTTCCATTACTGAGCCATAAATTTTGTTTTAGCCTTAAGTTATAGGCAGCTGGTTTTAAAAGTTCCTAAACTTTATGAAACTCTCATTCATGATGCCACTGCTGTCTGCTATATCTAAATTTCAAGAAAGACTTTAGCATTTGGACTTTTTTTTTTCTCCTAACCTGGGCAACTAACTATACCCTATTTGCATTTGAAAAGCACAGCTGTATATTGTTAATGTATGTGTGTGACACTTTATCAGACTTGGTAGTCTGAGGACTGCTACACCAGTATTTACCCTAAGAAGCTTCCAGAGTCGTAAGGCTGCCATTCCCTGATGCTAATGGTATGACTGGGTGCCTCTGTATTGACAGCATTCTCTCTATCCTAACTCTTCCTGACAGAACAATTAGAGAGAGCTCTATCAAGTCTCTTGCCTTTTGCTTAAAGATACATAAGGAGACTTGAAGATGATGATGTTGTACCTCAGGCAAACACTACAATATCAGTCATTAATAACTGAATGAGTGACTTGGAAATCTCTGCTCATCAGTGACTACTGCTTGGAAGTAAACACAAAAAAAAGATATGGAGAAGATAATTCTTTGACAAGAAAGACCCTAAACAAAGCAGGCCCGTGCAGCTTTCAAGTGCACTGCAGTATATTTCTTTTAAATCTAGAGCAAAGTCAAGGTACTTTATAGCAGATGGAACCAGCATCTCAATGAATGTAAGACAATATCTATTTGCATTTTCCTGGAACTGGAGGACTTCAACTGGCAATATATTTCCTCCCCAGTCTCCTTAAGATTGTCTGATTCACCTAACATAACAGTGAATTGCAGAGAGGATGTGGCTCAGAGTCTAGTAGTTGCTGTGTAGTAAGCTAAAGTGGACAGATTATATTCAGAGGCATGGTGGTGGTGGTGGTGGTTGTTATGTGCCGTCAAGTTGCTTGCGACTCGTAGCGACCCTATGTACAACAGCCCTAAACTCTGCTCTGCCCTGTGCCAATTGCACTGTCTCTGACACTCCCATCCCGATTACCCCAGTCACCAAATCAATCCACCTCATAGAGGGCCTTCCCCTCCTGCGCTGTCCCTCCACCCTCTCAAGCATGATGTCCCTCTCCAAGGACCAGTCTCTCCTTACAACATGTCCAAAGTATGTTAAATGAAGCCTCAGAATCCTTGCCTCCAAGAAGCCACCAGTTTAACCCTTTCCAGGATGAATCTATTTGTTTTCCTAGCAGTCCATGGTACCCTCAATACTCTTCTCCAGCACCACACAGTTCAAAGGCATCAGTTCTCATTCTGTTCTCCTTGGTCATTGTCCAACTCTCTGATGCATAACAAGTGATTGCAAAGACCATGGTCTGTATCAGACGCACCTTAGTCTCCAGAGAGACACCACTGCTCTTCAGTACTTTGGAGAGGTCCCTAACAACAGACTTCCCATGGCAATACACCTTTTAATTTCCTGGCTACTGGTGCCAAGAGTGTTGACTGTGGAGCCAAGCAAACTAAAGCCGTGAACAATCTCAATCTCTTCACCATCCATCCTGATGCTGCCAATTGGCCCAGGGGTGAGAATCTTTATCTTCTTGATGTTGAGCCTCAATCCATATTGGAGGCTGCAGTCCTTGACCCTCTGCAGCAAGCACTTCAGGTCCTCCTCAGTTTCAGCAAGCAGGATTGTATCTGCATAATGCAGATTGCTGATAGATCTTCCACCAATCTTGAACCCACATTTCTCCTCATAGAGGCCAGCCTCCTGGATAATCTGTTATGCATACAGGTTGAAAAGTTATGGAGATAGGACACATCCCTGGCATACACCCTTCCCAATTTTGAGCCATGCAGTGTTCCCTTGCTCTGATCTGACGACTACCTCCTGGTCCAAGTATAGGTTTTGCATTAGCACGATCAAGTGTTCTGGGATTCCCATTCTTCTCAGAGTCAGGCACAGTTTGTTATGATCCACACAGTCAAACACATTTGCATAGTCAATGAAACACAGATAGACATTCCTCTGGTATTCCCTGCTTTCAGCTAAGATCCATCTAACGTCAGCTACAATATCCCTAGTACCACGACCCCTTCTAAACCCAGCCTGGACTTCTGGCATTTCTCTGCTAATGTGCTATTCCAGTCATTTTTGGATAATCTTCAGTAGAATCTTGCTTGCATGTGAAATCAATGAGATTGTTCTGTAGTTTCCACACTCTGTTGTCCAGATATATTACTCTGGAGAGGAATGGTGAAATAAAGAAATATAAGAAGACCACGTCAGTGGAGCTAGCTGTACAGTAGAAGGCTGAGAAACCACCACAGCAGTCACAGGGATGGAGGACCCAGAGTCCTAAGATCGTCCTCAAATTGTATGTTAACAAGGACCTGGCTTCTGGCAGAGTCTACAACAGCCTCTTCGTGTGCCATTCTCTATGCACAGTCTACGTAGCAATTGTTTTGTGGCAAAATCACCCTCTAAAGCCTACAGCAGAGCAAGAAGAGAACTGATGGAGAGATTTTCGAGTCCTGATGTCTGGTATAACTGTGAAGAGTGCCCTCTTGAAAGGTTGCACTGATTGGAGGTAAAAGACTTGGAAATGCAAGCCCTACCTGACAAGCACACTTTCAGATACGAGGAGCCACTCAGGAGCTCTGACAGCACATGGGGTCACACCCCCGCCTGTTAACCAGTAGTTCTGTGGTTCAAACCCACCCCGCACTCTGTAGGATAAAGACCTAGTGATCTACCTTCACAGAGGTTACAGCAAGGAAAACCCAGCACCGAGGCTCTGCACGGTCATGTGGGGCTGCTCTGAATTAAAAGTGACTTGATGGTCATGGTGACATAAAGGCTGAGCACTCAGCTGTTGACCCAGAGTCTTAACTACATCACTACGAAGGAAAGAGCTGGCAGTCTGCTCCGACTGCAGGGTCCGCGATAACAGTACAACAGCAGCAATGCAACCCCTGAGCCAGGGTTAAGGCACCGCCAGGAGTCACACATGACTAACGATACTGAACATTGTCATTGGACCTTACCCTTGAGGAGTGCTCACGTAGCCATGATTACACCTTTTATCTGGCATGCCGTGTTCAAATGGGGACAGAGGAGATAAATATTTAAGCTGCACGGAATTGAGTTACTGATGGGTCTCAGAAGGATCTTGGACTCTTCCTTAATGAGAGCCCAGGAAGCACACACCTGGTGAGGTATGCAGAAGGACTAAGACTTGATGTTCCTACTCCCTAAACCAACACACATTAACGTTGTTGTTGTTGTTATGTGTCATTGAGTCATTTGCGACTCATAGCGACCCTATGTACAAGAGCCCTAAATTCCGTTCTGTCCTGTGCCAACCTCGCTGTCTCAAACACATTCATTCCCACCACTCCACTCACAGAATCGATCCATCTCATTGAGGGTCTTCCTCTCCTGTGCCGTCCCTCCACTCTCCCAAACATGATGTCCCTCTCCAAGGACCAGTCCCTCCTTGCAAGATACCCAAAGTATGTCAGACGAAGCTTCAGAATCCTTGACTCCAG